ATATTTTTCTAGTCTTAAAAGAAACGCGATTGCTGACACGACACTCGCAATTATAGAGTGGGTATCTGATATCTCCATCGATACTAAGAGCACGAGATTTCTAAATAACAGCTCGCGGTTAGGCACACAAAAAAGAGATTGGTACCTGTCCGCTTCGGCCCCACCCCACGTGTATCGTTATTAAGTTATTAGAAATAAAGCATTCTACAGAACTGAAGGCCAACTGCAAAATTCTCTAGAAGCATTCGACATTATCTTATGTCAGAAAGACGATAAAATAATCAGTAGCATAGACATGCAGCCGCAAAATGATAATATGGGATTTTTTTTTATGAACTGGCTATTTTTTGCCCTGCGTAATGTAGTTATGCACGAGGTTGCTCGTAGTTCCAAAGCGGGTCGTGCAGTATTTTGCATTGTCGGATGAAGAAATACGGCGACGGGTGTAACATTCCACATGCAAATGGCCGTTCTCTGTCGAAGTCTGCTGAAGAAATATGTGAAACAGGTGAATTGGATGATGAATAGCCTTATTCGAGCGCCCTGCCTGAGACTAGATACAACGAGGCCCGACGTAGTGTGGAGCTGGGCTTGAAAATCCGTAATTCAATAAATAACACGGTGTTAGTCTAAATGAAAGGCCTTAATTTTGGCCACCTAAAGCAACGCTGAAGCTCCTGTTCCGACCAGTCTCCTACTAGAGGAATCATGCCTAAAGAAGGGAGATCAACTGTGGCCAAGGCGTGACAGCGAAAAGTGTTCTGGCAAGAGAATGATAACCAGTAAATGATCCCATGTTCTTTCGTTCTAGCCTGCATCACTTGTGTCAGTGCTCACAGAATGCGATGACGAACAACCGAAAGAAAGAAATAAAGGAAGGCCTTACGGATACAAGCACAGATCTAACCAGGAATAGTGAGTGATACGCGTGGCGGGCATGTAGCAGACGACTGACGAGGCTGCGACGGTGGCTATGAAATGGGGGACTTGTGTGTTCTCTTCTAGGCGAGGTGTGTCTCATTTTTTCGGAGCACCGTCTACATACTTAGACTCCTCTCGATGCCTCTGATAGGCTCATATCGTATGGCGTCGTGCGCTCTAGGCAGTTGCTTTGAATTGTTAGCGGAGGATCGCTCTTCTGCATCAAATGCTCTCGTCGTGCACGATGATACGGACGTCGTAATGCAACCTCAGTGGCCTTAATAGTATATGGATAAAAATGATCCCAGTCTATGGAAGAATAAAACTGAAGCAAATTGATATAAGCGGCTGCGCTATCCCTATGTATTAGTAGGACATAACCAGGCTGTGAACTTATAATAGAAATATATATAAGAAAAGAATATAACTTTTCTTGTTCCAGTGAAACATTTGCTATAATTTATACCTATAGTTCTATAACTTTTCCCGCGAAACTAGCACTTACCGATGCTACCCTCGTACACCCATAAGATAACTAAGTGGAAAGTTTTCCGTGAGAACGGTTCGTGGAACAGTTCATCAATAAGCAATATATTCAGTAGCTTTCATGGAGCTTATGATTATTTTTCATCGTATTACAGATGCTTCTGTATACAGTATTATTTTATTATACATTATATGTGTTTAGTTAATGTCATAATTTAAAAAAAAATGCGTATATTTGATGTGACTCGGTTATTTTCTATTTAGTAGACTTAGAGATGTAGTGCCATTGGCCCGCGTACACTGGTTTACGATACTAGCGCCTTATAACGTCATCGGCTGCTTCGAACCATAAGCTGATATATATATGGTTCATTTTCGTATAGACCTTATATCTTGAAGAGACTTTCCTTCTACAACTTCAGCGCATGGCGCATGTTTGCTACCGCATGTTCAGGAAAAATCGCCGCTTAAGGAAGCCCAGTTATTTTTTCACGATTTTAACACAACCTAATTTAGCAATAGCGGTCGCCATAGCAGGTGTTTAAGTATGCATTCACTTGGCACAGTCGGATATTTTCATTGTCACTGTTTTCCGCTATTTAAAAGCTTCCCTAAGCGTATCTTCACGCGGAACTTTCCCGCCGATGCCTGGCAAAAGCACAATATTCACCTACTTGCGCGTAAATCCTAAAACTGATCTGAAGATCTGGAGTAGCCTTCGTATTAACAGACAGGACTGAAAGTCGACTGGGACAAGAAAGAATGTACCGGAAACACGGTGAATGTTCCTAAGTATTTTGGTTTCTGCTAAAGGTCATTCGCCCAACGTTAAATCGTGTTGACAGCTAGAGTTAATTTTGAATTCAGCAGAGTAGATGGATTCCCTGTAAAGCTGTATACATCTTAAAGAGATATATTCAGATATGAGCTTTTAGATCAACCTTCTAATACTATGATGTTCCAACGGAAAAATATGTTCTTAGGCCTTGATCATGGAAATACTTAGCTTAGGCCTAAATTGATCATTCTGGATTTAGGGTGAATCGATTATGGAGTGTGGCATACGTCCAATTATAAACTAATTTTTTTTTGCAAAATAAACGTATTAATTGATTATGTGTTTCTATTCAGGAAATTTGATTCCTAACGATTAAACGGTATGCAAGCTGGAAAAAGGTTCCGGTACAACTGGAGCGTGTTTCAAGGCTTGACATACTCTAATCTGAGATATCCAAAGACTCTAAAACAGTAAACACAATAATTATCTCTCAACTACTTCCTTCCAGCCTACGCCGTAATCATATATACATCAAAACTTTGTTTTTAAGGGTTATTCATCAAAGGTAGTGGCTCAGACATTGCGCAGTACATGGCTAGAAAAAAAGAACTCAGCAAGATAGAGAATCAAATGAGTACACCTTTCCTCGAAGTAAGCTTGAATAATGTACTGACTGGGCTGTGGATGCCTAGAAGAAATCCTCAGAAAATAGCTAAAAAACTCAATCTAGCAATCCATAAGACAAACATAAGTGATCCAGCTCTGGGAATTATTAAAAAAACGAGCATTGCTTGCATCCATGACATCGAAGCCATTTCCTAGTCGATCAATAAAAATAATGTTATTTGCTTAGATGTAGCAATCTATTTTTAGCATTTCTTGGTGTCCTGATTGACTCATTCAGAATCAGGCCAATGAACTAGGCATATGGGCAAGTTGTTTGGGCGTTTCAGTGGTACTACTCACAATGACCACTAATCATCAGCGAGTCTAAGGTTGTGCAAAATAGCGTCGCGACAAAATATAGGTTGCTTTTTTTTTTTACGAGTTTTATTATAACGATGGGGCTCGACTTTGTCCTCTTAGGAGCACAACGCAAACAAGTTACTGCGAAGCAGCCTCCTGGCCACCGTACTAAAAAACAAACATTTTTCTAGCCAATTTTCATGCATAACTGCCCGTTATATGTAAATAGCAACAGACTAAAATGACATTCTATACCCAGCTCCCTATACGGTTTTCGGACACCTTAATGGATAGCGGTAGGAGGCCAAAAACTTAACCATGAATATACTGCCAACCTACAGAAACTATTGTATTTATACGTATACCACACGCTGGATGAATCACTTATTTATGCGTAATGAACCAGCCTGTCTCGGCTTCCGTAGAGAATGAATTAGAATAACCCACCTGTTAAATGTGGGACCCAGCCACGGCTATTCAGCTAACAATCTGCAGTACTCCAAAAAATAGAAGCTTACATTACTTAGTTTTTGTAAATACATATTTTTTCTACTAGATCTATAAGACACAGTCTAATCAGGCGATACAGCATAGGCTGACTATCGCTGTTCGAGTGCGGCAACTGAAGATATTCAACCGAGCTAACTCAGCCAATGAAGTTAAACTATACATATATAAGTAAACTTGGATTGTGTTTATGCGTGCGTTTGTAATCCAAGCTGATTCTATAGCTGATATTGTTTCTTCGGGTTGTCGGCAGGTGGAGCTGGTGGTTGTCGAAAAAACAGACGGAAAAGGCCGTTGAATGAAATCGACTCGGCAATCTATGTTCGCACTTATGTTGCGCTAAGCAAAAACCTCCAATTGTCTCGTCTCGATCAGCGCAGGGCGAAACTCGTTGGTAAATGAGCTGTAATGTAGAAGAAACAAAAAAAAAAAGTGAATTTATTCAAAATTACATATTCATTTCGTGTGTGTGTGTGTATGTGTGTGTATGTATTTTCTTAGAGATTCTCGCAAGTTCAAGCTGTTCGACAAATTCTGTTTAGATCATTTTATCTAACTATTATACTACACATTAATCATAAGAGGAAAGGATAAGATGATTACTAGGCACGAACGCTGCATGAATTCTGGTACCGTACGTTTCCTGGCGTGAATTCACGCGCATCTATCGGCAGGAGCTATTATGAGTTCTTTTCAAAAATTACGGATGATAGGCCATCATTCAGTCTTCTATTTCAGCATTCCCGAGCTTTGAGCATAATTTTTGTTTTAACTGCCAGTGCAGTAGCTATTTTCCTTGATATTTATAATAATAATTTTCAATGATGTTATGTTGCTGTGAACTTTGATAAAGTCAAACTTAGCCATGAGGCTATGGTCGAACTGAAGTAGGTTGCCGACGCAAATAATCTGAATATCCGAAAGCGGAACACAATGGAGCTCTTTGACAAAGACAAATGCTCAGAAAGATGACAGTAAAAAAATTACTACAGACTAGTCAAAAACTGTTTCTGTTATTCGACAAAATCGAGAAGACTCCTCGGACAGTTCCGTTTTGTCCAGCCCAGTCGAAAAGATCGCAAATGCAGTGTGTTTCAAGCGTTGATTATGACACTGCCCGTATAAGCTACATACAGTCCGTATAAATACGTACACACAGACGCTAGTTTAGGCTGCTAGATTGACGGAAAAAATTATTTCGGTCGATCGTTACCCGCCGAAATGGCAGAATATCGAAGCAACGTATAACGAATTAAACGGTACCGAATACGGTACTATGACGTGCGCAGTAAAAATGAAACACATAGATGTTACCTCATAAATCAGCTCCATCGGTCACTTCTCTTGGGCTCCTTTCGGTGCTATGTCCAGGTTCACTGATACTGGACATTTCATCTAAACACCCACACCCACAGCAGGCGAACAACCAGAGCTACGAGTATATGGCCGGGGCCAATGACTTCGTGGATAAATACGTATAAGGCTTACCATTATTACTGCAATGTTGATCAGAATAATTGTATCGTTTTTCTCTAGGCGCCATCTGAACGGCCTTGTCGGGCTACTGCTCGCTGCAGCGCTCATTAGAAGGATCGAGACTGTGAAGTGAATGAGCTCTCAGCAAGTGGTAGTAAACAGCGCGAGCTCCTACGCGTCGTCCATAATCGCATTACGGAAAGTCAATTTTGCCGATCCCAGAGAGCTGCAGTTGTTTTTAACGAACGCAAAGGCTGAATAGTGATAGTTACAATCATACGTCCATGCTTTGATATGTAGGTGATCGCCTTACTTATATTATCTAGCTTTGTCCTAGTTGTGAGTTTGTTGGCGATCACATGGTGAGAAAAAATCCCTCAAGAATTCGAAATTATGCTTGTGCAACAGAATTACCTGACGAGTGTTCGTGAGTAGATTAACACCGTTTATAATTGTCTGGCATTGTAGACAATGTTGTTTTGTCGTGTAAACGATCTTTGACTATGAACCGGTACGACATTTATCTTTCGCATAGTCTAGCTATAGCCAAAGACTACAATAGAACGAAGACGCTTGTAATATATTCTATTCAACCGTAGGTGTTTTTCTCAGGTAGATCACACGTTATAGATGATTCTGGATAATGAGACATATTTTTTTTGGCTTAGTTGGAATGCTGGACATTCTAACGGGTACTGCTTGCATTCAATTGATACAGGCCAATCTTCAAGGACAAGATTTCTAACACGTTGGTTAGAATGAAAGCATTAAACTCTTGCACGGTTCTTCTCAAGTTTCTCTTCTTGTCCAAGTTAAGTTCTCAAGAAAACGGCAAGTACATCTCTACTTCGTTATTTGGTCGTTTCCACAAGCTTCGCTAACTTCTAAGTAAGTTCCGCACTATCAAACGCCTAATAGCTAATTATTAGATATAATGATTTATTATTAGTTATTAATAACCAGCACGGCTGGTTTACGAAAGCACCGTCGGCAATATGTAACCCGTGTGAAACTGAAGGCAAAATAACACAGCCTGAAATTAGGAAATTGCTTCATGAGTCTTTATTGCGCCAAAATGTGTTGGCCTATATAGTTGGTAGCGATTGCTAGAATCGCGGATAGCTGCAGCTTTGAAAGTATTAGACGGTGTAATAGTTTATTCTGTAGTAATCAAACTTATGAGCACAATGGGTCTGTCTGGCTGCTGAGTATATTTATAGGTTTGGATGCGTGGCTAATAGGGAAAATTCGCCGAATGCAAACATGCAGAAGGCCGAAATCGTACGATAGAGCTTAAGTTAGATGACTGCCCTTCGAGAAAACTACTTCACCTCTACATTTGAACTAATTTGGGGACGAAACAGGTGAATGACGTTTGGCGATTCTCCTGGGCATAGCTTACAACCAAACACTTCGCCACAGAGTACTTATTTTGGCCCACCTCGCTCGAGTTTTGTTAGTTATAGATTAAATGAAGTTTGAAATTATGGAACATCGGAAGCTACGGACGTGTACACCTCGGCTGTTCCGCATGTAATACGGCAGGAATCTATAAGCAACTTCCAGGCATAAACCTTTATCTTCACTTCCACCGAATCTATGCCGCTCTTACGCTTTTGGTATATTTAAGTTATGTTTAGTTTGCATGCATCCTCATCAAGGGAGCGGGAAATAGTTTAAACAGTGGTTTTTAGTCCATTTAACTGTGGATAACCTTGAGCGTTTCCGAAGCTGGAATTGTTTCTTTCTTCTGCCACGAGTGGGCTCCTAAAGAGGCAAGGTTCCCGAATCAGTTAGCAGACTGCGTGGTTGCAGGAGAGCCCGCAAGTCCCCACAAGCCGACTAGTCGATTCGGGCCAAGCGGACTGGGTCAATAGTTGCGCATTAGACTGTACTGTCTGCGAAAAGACAAGTCTTGTACGTTCTTCTATACCAACTGTAGTTCTCTCAAAATAGGGAGAAGGCTCAATTCAGTAGAATTTAATTCTATTTCTGTAAAGTTACCGCTGTTGTTATTAATGATTATCCCATCTTCAAAGTCCTTTAAAATTTGACTTAACTAAAACTGCGAGAATGGAAGTATCATTAGTTTCTCCACATTGACTACTGTGGTTCTATTTGTGAGACTTGAAAATTGTACGAACAAAAGGTCTTCATGGAACCGCTGAAAATCAAACTACCGAGTACCTAACTTACAAAGCGCTGTGCATCTTCGGCGCGTCAAGGTTACTTATATATCGATAATCAGACTGAAGCTGTATGCCTATACACGGCATAAACGTGCCTCTTGATAGCGTAAAATTACGTGCAATCTTCGAGGAATCCTGCCTGTCGTAAAACTTCAAACTTCAAATAATCCTGTTCTATGACAGAGAACATTGCAATGGATATCCAGAACGCGGTTCGTTTACATGCATCGAGGATTGCACTTTCTATTCCGGCTATATGGTAGCCTATGTAGATCTGATAGGATAGCGAAAGAGCCGTCTTTATTTTTTAAACATATAGTGATAGTCAGCACTAGTCGAATATAACAATGCAAAGATCTCCGCCAAGAATGGGTGTCGGGAAACACAATTGATCGCTGCATGATTTTCCAAATTTTTTTCAGGTCAATGATCCTCTAGAAGCTTACGTTAATGTTCTATTTAGTGCGAAGGGCTGTGCATAGGCTGTGCGTGTCGATGGAGAGAGTTAAGTACAATATGTGCCTCACGTACAAACTGAACAACAGGCCAACTGCTAAGATATAATTTATCATGGAGGGAGGTTCTAGTGGGCCTGTAATTATCGCGATTTGTAATATCGTTTGCAGTAAAAAGATGCCAACAGCAAAAGCTTGCCGCGAATAATCGGTTATTGAAATACTGAACGGTATAGCTTGCAAATATTATCTTTAGAGTATCTTGATTCATCCGCAGCAATCGTTCTGCCACTCCAGTTGACAAAATATCGCTTAGAGTAACACCAAAGATATCGCCTACACTTAATAAAAGCTTAGTTTCTGCCTGCTATGATACTTGAAACTGCTTGTATCAGAAACGCAGAAAGAACCACGGGTCCGATCGGGATAGAGTCGAAGCCGATCTTATCTGAGTCTAGTTGTATAATAACCCGTACAAAAGGCATTCGACTCCACTGCAGGCCGGTCCGTCGAAATCAAGACCATAAGAAAAACTAGAAGTATTCAAGAGATCGAGCCACATAAGGTAATAAGACGATGACGTAAGATGCTTATCGATGTATTTGAGAGCAAGTGGAATTTTCGTCATTTGGCTAGCTAAATATGTATTGCTATGACAATAACGGCTGTAAATCGGTCATGATTCCTTTATGTGACGGAGTTTTTTTTGCACGTGACATTTTGAGAACAAACAACTCATCTGTAGTCGTCGGTCATGGACACAAGGTACAACTCTGTGTTCATGCTTTGAATCGTATTTATCTATCGATACTAATACTCACACAATTGAAACTTCTACGTTTGAAGCTCCCACGTTTTCATTCATTATAACATGGCACAGTTCACGATCTTGATTGTGGTCGCGTAAAACTAATGCATTGATTTGAAACACGCAGTCCTGACAAGCTGCGGTCGATTGTGCTCGACCGTTTACTAGCTAACTCACTTACTGCAATACTCAGTAAAAAAGCCGCATTTGTCTAGGAATAATAGTGCTCTGTTAAAAAAATAGTACTTGTTTGTAGACTAGAAAAGCAGCTTGGCAAGGTGTCAGACTTCCGGCGTCTATTTGCCCCCTGGCAAATGCGTAGATTATAAAAGGCATGCAGCATACTTAACGATGTTAACCACTTAGTGGATGCCACCGTAGCACGCATCTATCGTCCTCTGAGCATTTAGGTACAACTATGTATCACAGAAAGTGCTATATTTAGTCTCTAGTAATATGTTATGTCCAGTAATAGCTGCCTACAGTATTGGCAATATTATTTGACATTTCCTTTTGCAAAAAAAAACAACGAAATGCCTTCTTACGTTTTTTGGGCAGTAAGTTACCTATTCCTCGGGAATCCGTTAAGGTGGTTTCATGTAGCTTAATTATTTGCGCAGCATAACTTCTCAATGGAAAAATGTATATGTTCTTGTTAATTATACATTATCAGTCACAGATTAGTGTGTCAAGAGCACTAAAGTTAGTTATAAGCGGCATACTAGATACAAATAAAAACAAGGCGAACCTTGATGTGGAAAGGAAGTTTTGAGACCTTATCAGGTGTGGGGTATTCTATCTGTGCACTAATGTAACATGGTTTTTAACACTGCTATCTATGATTAACGCAGATAAAGAGATTCCAGCACTGTTGGATTCTAATACATCAAAGTTACCCGTAAAATAGAAACAGAACCGGACAATGTTACCGATATATGTAACTGTCGCTGTGGCGCACGAGACAAATTTAGTGTCGCCGGTTATAAAGCACTCTGAAACTCTTAAGAAATCCAGTGAATCGCCGAAGTCTGACAGCTGCCAAAAGCAATTTTGTTCCCTCGTAGCGCCTTATAATATATATACAGGTAGCCGTTCGCTGGCAGAAACAAAGAACGCGATTATGAAGTCCATGAGGGTGTCATAGATGGCGGATGAAAAACTCAATTCTATCCACGTTTGGGCACTGCCGAAATATAATGAATCATGGGCAAATTTCCGCGCATTTACGTCGCCAATCTAGCTAAACTTCTATGGACTACTGCGGTAATACCTTGGATTTGAGCTTCTTTACAACTTTTACGACCATCGTCAATTATTAGGTTTTTGCACCTTTTCATATCAGCCCACTATCGCTGTTCGTTCTAATTGACCCAGACGGCTAGCCAGGATATACCTTTCTGGGCTTACTCAACCACAACGAACGGGCAGCCTCCTGCATTAGTACCACAATACGACTCAAGTAATAGCTGGCGTTAAAGAAATGTAGGTTAAACTCAATTTCTCGGACCACAACATGCAGATGATACTGCTAGACCGTTATGTCGACTATATACCCGAATATATTTTAGTCTAGTCCCGGAACCCGACCCCCGTAGCTCTAAGGTCAAGTTCGCATTTCCTGTTTTATGCAATTTAAATATACCATGTTGAAAAATAGATGCATTTTATACTGTGACATTTTTTCGGCCAACTTTACGATGCAATCATGCATATAAAATTTTCTACGGGTACTGCTATTTGTCTGAGTAAAAAGTATCATTGATGCACAGTCAACATACACCTGATGGTTACTACCAAGGGCTGTAGGGTTTCAAGCTCTTAGAAACACATTAAATATTTATGTCATAATATTAAGAAACGGCAGCGGTATAATATGTGATCATATACTTACAGCAATATATTTATTTTTTTATATAACACGATTATTAAAGTAAGTCTTTGTTTCATAAAGTGTAGCTCATAGGGACTAACATTCTTTCGTAGAACGAGCCCAACAACGACCGTTATTTTCACCATTACACGTATAAATTGCACAGTTTCGTACTCTCACGCAGGCACTATTATATCGAAGTTCACCTTGCTAAGAACCAGCTACTTAGATTTACGTGCCTTTAACATATTATTGATAGCGTTGCGTCAGTACCCCGTATGTTCCAAGTTAAATCGGATTTACAGATTAGGATCAAACGATTATCAACCCAGTGAATTTTCTTGGAGTTGGATGGAAAATTATAGTTAAAATCGTATAGCTTTTAATAAAACAGTACGCTGAACTAATAATAACTTGATATTTCGGACGAACTTCTTCTTGTAGACCTCTGACATACGAGCTTCATATAGCGAGATGGAGTACGCAAACTCGTTGAATTCTAAGTCCATTTTTGGTCCCGAGCTCAGTCAATACGGCGATTGACCAAGTGATTTACAAAAGTTATTAACTGGCAGAGCGTGATCCCTCTTTGAACGATCATTTTACAGTAGCGGAACGATAGCTGCTATTGCGACAGGACTGCTCCAGCGTTTTCGTGAGTCAGCCATGAATAACGTTCTTAATTTCGAAATAATTGCACACAGCCAAGCATCGTAGGGAAATTTACAACGCTAATGATGTTCCAGCAAATGAGAATAAGTTTCATCCGAAACTTCAGTCCGAAAACAGGTGCTTGACTGAATCGCGGCGTGCTACGCTAACTAATTATTTCATTACGACTAACTTTCGTCACAGTTAAGAAGTCGAACTTGATAAATCGGGATAATACACCAACAACGTTCACGAAATAAATACACTTTTCGTGTACGAAAAAGGGCCTAATACTGTCTTAGGACCTTGTGGGTCGAATGGTTTTCGAAGGTAGCTCTGCCTAGTGACAGATGATCGCTTCAATGGTGCGGAAACCATGGACAGTGCCATGTATTTGTTGTAAAGATCTACGGTACTGGCCCCAGAACAAACTAACTGCAACTTAGCCGAGTTGGAGTCCAGAAACTTGGGTTTAACCTTGTCTTGTGTGCATATATATATACATTGTACGATCTTGAAAGGTTTTAGAAGATCTTTCTGCATACAAATAGAACATACTAGTAAACAAAAAGACTGAAGTCAATTAACATCGAATAAAGAAAACAATATTTACAATAAATCATGTCATCATAAGGTTCCGACTCGTGCGGAAAACGACTAAAGTTAGACTACCTAGCTAACCAGCCTGGAAAGCCGTATAAACATCCTGTTCACACATCTCTAACCGAAACACTTTACTGGCTTTTGTGGAAATTGTTACTTCTGAAATTTGTTGAACCCAGTTTGATTCTCAAGCAAAAGGAAAACTTTCTGAAAAATCAAAAACACTTCTCGCTAAGTGGTCCCAAATGCTCGTTCGTCTCGATAAGCTTATTCGGGTTTGCTATTGTAAACATGCCATGCATCCTGTGGACAACAATATAGAATAGACTGGCGCATGGTGGCTTGTGAAAGATGTCCCGCGATTATTTATAAATTACGCGGAACTGTATTTGTGCTCAAAGAGATCGTATAAATAATGGCAAGCAAAAGGCTGTTTTCTAATATACTGGAAAATTCCTCCTACATATACAAAGCTTGAGTTTGTTTCATTTCCAACGAACACTTTTCTATTTATCGCGTTAAAAGCGGGCCAACTGAAGGTCGTTAGGTCAGTGAAACTAGAACTTTTTGATTTTTGTCTTGGAGACTCGGGAACGCTATGCACCCACCGTTTCAATCATAAACATCTTCAACTATACAGTAGTTAACGATAAATCACCACAGCGGCTTAATCCTTAATGGCTTTTAGCAGAACTAATGCTGTTGATAACGTAGGAGAAAAACGATCCATACGATAAATGTTTCCCCTAATAACGGCCTTCAAGTGGAGTTTTTTTTTTATCTGGAAAAAGTAACCTTGAAGGAACTTTTTGGCTCGAGAAGTTTATACATTTCAATTTTGACAGTTTTGGGATACGTCATCTGTGTCCGGTTATTATTACACTTTTTACATGTGCTCAAGCAGTATTATCGGCTGTTCTGGGTTCAAGGTGCCTATTGTTGTATATATACATAATACAATATTATCGTATCTTTATATTGAAACAGTGAAATAAGGCAAACAGCTCGAACTCTTTTTTTTATTGTGAAAACACCGAAGATTTGAGTGCTGGGACTAAGATAATTAGAGGGCGTCAAAGTCACATTTCTTGCTATATTACAAGAATACTTATTGAAATGATTTATCAAGCAATGATGAAAACTGATCGACCGCCGAAGTTGTTGCCGCCGATTGTTTCGAAGCTTTTGAACTATCTCTTTTCGATCCAAGGTACGTTATCTCTGTAATAATGCTTTACCAATAACTGAGGAAGCCGATACTACGCACTGATAACAGTAACTGTGTTAAGCTAACTGCGATAAGTAACTGCCAAGAAGTTACTGATATTAAATGACATAGATTCTAGATTTCAGCTAATAAAAGATCTTTTTGCTAGTATAGTAATATTATTATGGTAAATTCAGAGTCGTGTTAAGGTTTCTGTTAGCTTATTAGTATATATAT